TTTCATTGACTGAAAATGCAGTCATTGCATGTTTGTCGACTGTTCTTAAGAAAACTGTACGCGGGTTTGTTAAGGCAGCACTTGGATCAGAATTCAGCGAATTAACACTTTGTTATAATTATGTAACACTAATAAACGGAAAAGTCAAGGATAAAACTTTTACTATAATTATGCATTCTATAGACTTCAATGGAACTTATACTACAGGAGGCACTTCACCACGATGTCACCACGTGACGTCTATAATTAGAAAATATGCCTTAATGAAAAAGTGAAAAGTTTAACAGTACCCCGGCGATAATTAGTTCCAATTTATATTAATATTTATGTAAAAACATCTCTGTACCATGAAAAGAGCTGCTAGAATCATACTGTCCTCTTAAAGAAATAATTATTCAACAATTTCGGACAAAACCTTCCCAAAATTTTTACATTTTGTTCAAAACATCGAAAAAAATGCATCAATTCCCGTAAACCATAGCAGCACTTTCCAAAAACAAAGGAATAAGAACTATAGATTGAAACAAAAACTAAGTTTCAAGGTATGCGGCGTAGTGTTGAACTTTTGCATCTTTTTTGTTTCAAACGACAGAGGAAAGGCTAATCGGCAAGTAAACACCCTCCCTGTTTTAATTTTACGAAGAAATTGCAGAATTATATTACCATACATTATTAATACGCTTTATTCCCACAAGAATCACACATGATATTCATTCTAAATGCTTTCAAACTCCGATTTCTTGTGTTTGTTTACATCAATTCTCGTTACTTTTCACTTTCACTCTGCAACTGCATGATCAACAGTTATAACGTCACGGATTTGGTATGTAACCCCTGTGATAACTACAGAGGCACAGGAACGACAAAATTCCGTTGCTATTATTCCTCTGCATATTTTGGTTCATTTTCACGACCTCAATTCAATCTTAGATATCGATTTTAAGAAATTGTTATCTCTAAATCTCACGTCATATAGTTTATTATGACGTCATATCATATAGGCAAGTAGAATATTTGGTTGTAACCTTAACCTACCTGCGTAGCTGTATATTGAACAAAATTAAGTCTAATTAAAGGGGCATGGACACAGTTTCAGTTAAAATTTCACACTTTATTTTTCCATTTTTACAAATATTTAACTAAGGTCCTTGTAATGGTAGATACAAGACGGATTTAGAACTCCAAACCTTTGACATGTAAACAATGCTAGTGTCATGTTTTGTTTACACAGGTTAATATACTAATATATGTTTGAACAAAAAAGATAATTTCAAATAAAAGTTTATTTTAGATACAATTCGATAGTAACTATTGATTTGCTGAACTTCATTTTGATATTAATATAGACCCGTTCTTGGCACTAAGTGCCACCGACCAGTTAGGATTATGCCGATGTGACAAGGAACCCTATTTTTTTCTCAAACGATAGATATATAACTTCCACTTCCCAAGTCTTATGCATAGGAAAACAACATATTATGTATTTAGTACTTAGTATTTAGTAATATTTGAATTGATCTGGAACAGCAAGCAAAAAAAAAAATGAACCAGGAACTACCGATTACGAAGCTAATGCTAAGTCAAAAGAAAAAAAAATAACAGTCCAATGATTCTTTAAAATTAATTCAGATTTAACAAAAACAAGCATTCAGAGAGTATTGCATAAGCAATATATGTCCCCTACCGGGTTCCCCCTTTTCTTTAAGATGTTTTCCATAATATGCCAAAATTATGTCCGAAGTAAAACTGCTTGATTTTGATGTTGTGAATGCCTTTAACAGGTTGGGCACAATTCATTTTTCGGGGAAGTATTAGTAAAAAAGGGAACTATTATTCTTTTCAGTAATAGTAACATTACTCAATTAGAGAATTTTTGTCACATTTTTTTTAATAATGGCTCTAATCCATTCATCAAATTAAAAGTGCATAAAAAATACAATGTGATGTGTTTAATCTTTGTCTAACAAACCTCACTGACCTTCAGTGCTGCAGACAACAGTTAGATGATATTTAATAATGTTCCCTGTTGATAAATGGTACTAAAAGTATGGAATATAATAAGGACATTCATTCTAAAACCATTTTAAAAGAATTTCGTTTGAAATTTAATATTTCAAATAATTATTTTCATCTGTAAAAGAAGCAGTGGTATTTAAAATTATCATTACGATTTCATTTAAATAAATAGTATTAAATTAAATTAGAACAAATAATCTCATGAACAAGTTAGCAAGTGCTGAACGTATCCATTAACACAATTTTAACACATGTAGCTTCCATAAAAAATCTATATCATAGAAATTTTTCACCACTCTTTTTTAACTTTTTGCAGCAATAAAAATTTCAGTTTTGAGCACACATACATTTAATAGACAAAAAATATTTAGAAGATGTGAAAATATTCTTGCACTTTATCTTTTATTCAAAACAAACACGAGAATAGAGGCTAAACGAGTGTAAATTCCCGAATTCAGTAATGTTTTTATTACTGAAAATGGTAATAGTTCCCTTTCAAGTAGTACTTCCCCGAAAGAGGAACTGTGCCCGACCTGTTAAAACTTAAAAAATAATGCACATAAAGATGAAAATTCAACTCATTTTTCAACGGTTTTTTTCTCGCTCTATATACCATCAGAATTTAGCGCAGCACGAACCCGATCTTAAACAATTTTGAAATATTAAAGATGGCATAATTTTGCCAAAAATCAATGGAGCAAAACGACATTCAAACTTGATCTGTAACTCATCAAGATACACTCACATACAAAAAGTCAGCTCAATATCTGCAAGCGTTCAGAAAAAAAGTGTAGAAAACCAAGTAGCATAGACTGACAGACAGACGAGGACAGCTAGAAGGACGGAGGGACGGACAGATAGCTAGACGGACGGAAGGACAGACGCAGAGGAAACATATAGCCCCCCCCCCCCTGTTACATTAAGTACGACTTATCTAAAATATGATTGGAACACTTTTGTTGTTAAAGTTAGTTTTGGTTGTTAATAAAATGAAATGAAAAAGCACATGGTGTTTTCCCTCAACGTGGATTCAGTAATTACAAACCGTTCTGTGTCAGACAGAAAATTAGAAGAAATACGTCAAGAAACAGTTAAAGATGAGCAACTTCAAAAACTGAAGCAGATCATTGGAGATGGATTTCCTAAACAGAAATGGGACCTGTTCTCCTCGATACAAGAATGCTGGAATTTCAGGAGTGAACTCAGCTACGCAGATGGCCTTATACTCAAAGGTACCAAAATAGTCATTCTAAACTCCCTTAGGAAGGAAATGTTGCAGAAAATTCACACAGGACACCTTGGAATAGAAAAATACAGACAAAGAGCCCGACAAATCAAGTATTGATCAGGAATGAACCAGAGTATCGAAGAAAAGGTCAAATCATTCTCGGAGTGTCTGAAACACAGAGCAAAACAAACAGCAGAAGCGTTGCTTTCACACGAAACAGCAAATTACCCGTGGGAAAAAAACTGGAATGGATTTGTGTGTGTGCAACAACAAAAATTATGTAGTCATCTGTAACTACCACTCAAATTACCCTGAAGTATGTCCACTAAAGAAGACAAGAACAGCGGTAATCAAAGCTATGAAGTTCATATTCGCAGGTCAGGGCTTTCCTAAAATCATTATCTCGGATAATGGACCTCAGTTCACCTCGGAAGAATTTCTAAAACTTGGAGAAAACTACAACTTCCAGCACAAAACATCAAGTCCGAAACCCCAACAGTCTAATGGATTAGGAGGGAAAACTATAAGTATCATCAATAATCTACTCAAGAATTCAGGAGAGGATTTTTACCTTAGTCTCCTTGCTTACCGTGCAACACCGTTATCCTGTGGTAAATAACCAGCTGAAATTCTGTACAACCGAAAACGTAGGACCGACTTACCTTTGTTAGAAAAACATCTTTATACATCTAACAGAGAAGATGTCATCAAACAGAGAAAAGCTAGTCAAGTGACACAAAAGTATTACTACGACAGATCAACTCATCAGTTTCCAAAATTAGAGGAAGGAGATGTGGTCAGATTAAGAAATCTAGACGATACAGCATGGACGGAGCGGGGAACAATCCAAAAGCAAATCAATCAAAGACCTTATATTGTGTCAACCGGAAATGCATAATTTCGCAGAAATCGAAAAGACATTCTAAAGACTTGCGAAAGTCCGACGAGTAATCAGCGCAATGAACCAGAACTGAGTGATCATGAAGTAGAAGTGACTGGAGACGAAACTACCCGAATGCGTGAGGCAAAATTGTGAAACAGTGCGTCCTAGGCGACAATGTGGCACTCCAAAAAGACTCATTAAGGAATGTTAAATAACTGTAGACACTTTTGCATGCATTGATAACATGTATATCTAGTCATTTATCAGTCTAGTCAAAGACATTTCCAATTTGTGTTCAGAAATTTAGACCAAATAGTGAAAAAAACTGTCTCATTAATGCTATGTGATGTTAATTGACTTAACTGATTTATATAATCAAGTATTCTCTTTCTCTAAGTAATTGAGTGAATTACACTATTTTTTAAGGGGGAGGTTTTACATTAAGTACGACTTTTCTAAAATAAAATTAGAACTCTTTTGTTGTTAAAATTAGTTTTGGTTGTTAATAAAATGGAATGAAAAGCACATGGTGTTTTCCCTTAAACGAAAGACAAAAAACCCCCAACCCCCGGTTTCAACGGTAAGGAACTAAAAACCATTATGAAGTCATCTTATTTCTATTAAATATTTACTTAAATTTTTAAGTTGCCGGGAGTGTCTTGAAAACTTAAAAACAAGTTGTTATTGGTGTTCAACGGACGTGGTATGTTACCGAGCTAGGGGAGACTGTACGCCTTCGGTAAATGACAAATTATGTTTAATTATTTATCTATGCATTATAATTAAATAATTTATTCATCTATTAAAGTATTTGAACATAGAAAATTACTAAAAGTATTTAATGGTATATCAAAGAATTATATCTTATTTTTATTTCATCACGAATAAAAGAGATACAATATTTGCTTGTATAACAGATTTCATTTTTTTTTTCGTAGCCTGGTGAGAGTCAAATAGAGGTAAAGTACTTTACACTCGAAGGAAAAAATAGATGTTACAAAAAATGTACTTATTTAAAAAAAATCATTTTGTTTACAGAATTCAGATATATAATTTTAGAACAGATGTGACAAGATGTGTTTGTGAAACACTTGTGCCCCCGTATGGCAACATAGCGGAGATGAAACTTTTCTTAAATGCAAATTAAATTATATTTATACCCAAAGTATGGTCTTACAGGAAATACAATATGAAAAATATTCTAACACTACCTGTTCAAAATATATGGCCGAGGATATTCTTTTGAAAGGTACATCAAACTCCTGTGTCAAAGTCAAAAAATCAAAGTTGTTCGTTTTTAAAAGAAAGGTTTTGTCATAAAGATTACATATTTATGATATGAAAGCCATGGCCCTTACCGTTCAAAGGTTATGACCAAGGATAAGGTAGGTCGAAAAGAAGGTCAAAGGATCAAGGTTGTTGATATGAAATGAAAGGTCTTGTGAGAAGGATTCAATAAGTGAAGTATGAAAGCCCTAGCGCTAACCCTTTAAAAGTTATGGTCAAGTTTTTTTTTTTAAGTTCAAAATTTAAGGTCAAACAGTCAAAGTTCGTGGTTTTCAATGAAAAGTCTTCTCACAAAGGGTCAAAGCTGTTGGTATCCAATGAAAGTTCTTGTCACACGGGATACAAATGTAAAATAATTAAGTGAACAAAAAAAAGCATTGATGAAAATGAACAATTTGTTCCCCGTTTTCACTGATAATAAGGAATATTAATTTGAGTCTGTCCGTCCACTTTTCCATCCGTATTTCTGTCTATTTCTAACACTTCCGTTTCCGCATGATATCTTGAGAACCACATCATTGAGCTTTCGCAATGAAATTTTGCATAGCAACTAGTACTCTTGAGTAAAGGCTAGATTAGACGCTATCTATTTTGTAAGATGTTGACATTTTTTAACGTGAATATATACATGTATGTGATCTAATGTTTGCATATAATTTATAATACAAGCAAGATGTATTTAGAAACATTTAGCGGCAAAGTCAGTAATGCAAAGCATTTTTGCTTGATGTATCGTACTTTTTTCTGAAGGTTAAAAAAATCATTCTTTTAGATTTGTCCTGTGGTTTTAAACAAAACAGCACGGATTTCGTTTGGAAGCAAACAAAATGTTACTTTCCCAGGAAGAAATTTAATAGTACGTATATGCTTTTTCAGAAGAAAATATGTACATGTACACAATCTAATTATGAAAGATAAGATTGAAGCTTGTGCCAGTTTCATACACTGCTAATATTATTTCACTGCTGATTTATTCTGTTATTTTATTTTATACTAAGGATTGTATAACTTTCCGGCAGTACTTATTTTATATTTTAGAACAGATATTTATTGATATTTTGGGGTTTTTTTTATCATTCATTAGACTGGATTAACGTATCAATGTCTCATCGATGAAGTCATGTATGCAGCGTCAGTAAATATAACATCAATCATTTGCCAAGATATACAGGTAAGCAAATCAGGAAAAAAATATTACGTGTTCTGGTTGAAAAAGTTACCATTGCTTTGTGTAACTTTTGCCCTAACACTTTGATATCAAAAAGCATGATTCTACATTTTAACAGGAAATTTTTTTTTATTCAAGAATTATTTCAATTTTAGTGACTTTCAGAGTGACAATCAGGAGTAAAATTTATCTAATTTAAAAAAACTATATTATGGCTGATTATATCCTCTCCCTTGAAGATTACCGTTATATTTTGCAAGACGGTTTACAGAAACAAGTCTTTAATACTCCATATGCATGTGACTTCCACTTTTCTATCTCCAGGAAATGACATACTATTAGCGACATACTTTGATTTAACTTACTGGTATTTCGATTGAAAACAATTTTAGATAAATACAATGAATTCGTCAGTTATCAAATAATAATCATTTGAAAGATTTTTTTTTTCGCAGTTCGTAATTTATTGCAATTCTCGATTTCGTGGATATAGTTTAATTAGAACTTTTAAGGTCAAATTACATATAATATTTAAAGATTTTATAAGAAAAGGTTATAATCCGTAGATCTATGTTTATAATACATGTATAAAGCAAAAAAAAAAAAAAAAAATAAATAAATAAATAGTATTAAGAATTTTTTTTGGCATCATGAACAATTGAGACCTTTAACCGAACATTTTCAAAACTATGAAATATTGGATCGTATTCTTTATGTAATCGTTCCTGTGGTGGACAGATTTGAGATGCCAAAGCACTAGATTGCTATCAAACGTTATAGAACATACCATTCTACATCATATACCTTTATCACTTACCCAAGAATTAAACGTTAATTTTCAGGATACTATCTGAGCAATATTTTAAAGTTGAAAATGATAATCAAAGAGCACAAATAAATAAAGTAACAACCCACAGTGAAGGATATCTAAGGGAAATTAAAGCTTAAAAATTATGTTGAATATAAATCGAAGGCAAAATGTTCCAGAAAGCAGTACATATTTCTTCGCACACATTTCTTTTTCTTACATGGATATTTTATTCCCTACTCAGCTATCATATTCGAAAGAGGAATCAACGAAGAATTTTCACGTTCTATTCAAATATGGTCGTAATGTACCGTCCAGGAACTTAGAGTCATTTGGAAATAACACGTTTATATCAGGTACTATTTAAAGACGTACACGTATCTTGTTGTTCCATCAATAAATTAAATAAATCAATAAATTATGTTTATGATCCACCAATAAACAGTACGAAAAATAAAATCAATGGAAGAGAAATTTTCAAAAGTAGTTTGCATTTAATTTTTTGCCTTCACATAGTTTAAGTGTTTGATATATATTTAAAAATATTAAAGATTTACTCATTTCACCCGATAGAAATATCCAATTGGATCTTCTCACAAATATTTTTATTATAAAATTTACATGTAGCTTATAAGTGCGAATACCTGTCTCCTGATAAAAGAGACTGTAGCAAATGTCAGTACCTGAAATTGGTTGAAGGATTAAATTGTGTCTGGTGTGGGGAGCGCAATGGTTGTGTGGAAAGGGAAAGATGTACAGATAACCACATTTGTTCTCCACCTGAAATTGACAAGGTATCATTTTTTTTACTTTTTTACACCTACGAGGGTTGATCCAAAAGTTCTTGGAATTTCTTTCTGAAATTTTTTCGTGATCTGATGAAAGCAAACAGCAGGCATATTTATAATAAAGAGTCATAAAGCAATAATACTTGAAAATTTCACAACTTTCCAATTACGAATAAGGTCACACGAGCTTTCTAAAAAAACGGATTGTTGTGAAACCCGGGGGAAACTTTGACATTACGTTAAGTTTGATATGTAACGTCACATTATAGAAGCATCTTACCCTAATGTACAATTCAAGTACGTAATTTTTACAAATGCTGCCTTTTCTCTATTCATTTTTCTCAAGAAAGGTCTAGATATCCTCTTGAATCAAATTATCTTCATTTTCCACTCATATTTCAAAATACTTCCCATCTTCCCATATGATGTTACAATTTCAGTAGCAATGTTAAGAACCCCCCGCCAGCCGACAACGTCCGTTAACGCTTTTAATTTATCTACGGGGATAAACATCCCAAAAGGCGGCCACACCTTTAATTAATGTCCATGGACGTTCTATTTTTCTTGAATTTCTCATGCCACTATATGTCAAAAATATACGCGTTTAAGACAGAGTGATCCCGGAATTTTCACAAAACTTATAACTTGACCGAAATTTGACGTTGTCTAACAACTTTAAGATGAGCAATAAATCACGAACTTATAAACTAAATGTACAGTAAAATAAGTAAAACTTTCACACAAAGGTTTATAAAAGATCAAGCAATCGTAATAATGACACAATTTTCGTTTCATATACTACATAGGGTGGCTTTATTCTCATTTCTCGTATTTAGAATAAAAACGATAATAAAAGCTTTAATGTCTCCCCTGCATTTCCAAACAACCCTTGCCATGGCAACTGCCATATAGTATTTAAAATGTTTTTATTCATTTAAAATATTCAGCTAGTGTCTATATTCTAATTTGTAACTTTCAACCAATTTCACTTAAAAAGGAATAAAATATGAAGAAATTCCATGAACTTTTGGATCTACCCTTGTATGCACAACAGTCTAAAATTCAACTTTTTGTACGCGAGAAATGTTAAGGAAGCATATAACCCATTTCTCGGGAAATTTAGACATTTTAAAGAAAATTTAATTGGATAATTTACCAACGCCGCTGATAAACGTAAACTATCATTAAATAATGAATTAAAATAAAAGAGTGTCTAACGCAAAGACGTATACCACAAACACCTTTAGTTTTACATCTACAAGTACAAATTTTTACTTTCAGCCTTATTAGTGTCAAAATCTCAATTTCAAATTCACTGCTCTACAGGCAGATTGTGTAAAAAAAAAAAGAAAGAAACAAAAAAAAAATTATATATCATGAAAAGCAAGCATACTTGACAATTTGACTTCAACAAATTTTCAAGAACAAAGACAGCAATGCAGTTTCAGCACTAAAAATGACCATAAAATTATAAACTTTTTTGGTTTTCTTCTGAATGAATTCATACGGTGTTCTTTTAAATCTAATTATTTATTCGTTTGTACATGTATGTTCGTTTTATTATTCATTTATATTCCGGTTTAATGACACAAGATTGAGCCAACTGATGGACCAATAGGAGGAGGCACATTGATCAAAATAGAAGGAAGAAATCTAGGTGCATCTCTAGCAGAGGTTACAAATGTGACAGTTGCTGGTGTTAAATGTTCAAATCTGCACTTTGTTCAAACAAGGTAAAATTTTTAATTGAATGAAAATTTTAATAAAGTTAAAGAATGCTTCATCAAGTGAGGATTAAGTCATCAAGGAAGACGGGTTTCAGTATTTTTGATAACCCCTCGAAATTGGTCTTTTGAATTGTCGGTACTTGGAAACAAATAGGAGATGTTTTTGAATACTGATAGAATAATTATTTCCTGCTTATATTGAGTACATTGTATACAAAATTAATAATAACCTTCTGCGTTGCTTTGTATGTACCTTTAGCTAAATATAATATATATATATATATATATATATATATATATATATATATATATATATATATATATATATATATATATATATATATATATATATATGTATATATTTATTTTTAATGCTTTGGTTGAAGTTTGCAGTGTAAAACTGGAAAAATTAATAGACCTCTTTCCGGAGATGTTATGGTACTTGTTTCGGGACACTGGTCGAATAGAACAGTAAAGTTTCATTATAAGGTAAAAAAAAAAATTGGATCTGTATACCTATATTGCAGTCGGTACTGAGGATAAACATTGTAGATCTGAGCCTTTTAGAGTTTTTCTAGTACGTGTGCCTAACATCGTGTTCAGTTTTACAAACTGCATGAGTACGATATAGATGTAAAAGGCGATATGAACAAGTCACTTTGCAATCCATTTGTATAAAATATATGTAGTTCTATAACTTGGTTTTAAAAAGATGCTTTTGAATGTCCGTAATACATTCTAAACTTCATATCAAACACCGCCTGTGCAATATATACTCTATAATTTTAGTTTAAAAAACTGAAGGTTTTCACCTCCGTGTACGTATGAATATAAATGTTGTCTGCAACTTGAAGTAGTAAATAAGAGGTCTTCTCTAGCTTCACGCACACGAAGACGTAAACGGTCATCTGCTGTTTAACAACTCTAAAAAAGAAAAAAACCGGCCTCGATAGAATTTTAAACACTTAACATGGAAATGGAATCAACAGTTCCTTATATAACAAACTTAAATTGGCTTTGATAGATTATTTTCCGTAATATATATTCAAAGTATTAAGCATTTAACGGTAAGAACATGGTATGGTTTCAATACAGATATTGCCCATTTAATTTTTTTGAAAAATTAAACTGATTTAGAAATATTTTCTGAATCATTGAAATTCCATTAAGAAAAAAAAAAATCTTACAGTTCATATTTCTCACATGCATTTGTAAATGCTAAATATAATGTCATAAACGTGAATTTTCCTTATTTTCTTAAATGTTTTGTATGAAATTTCTTCAGAGTATATTATCCACAGGTATCGCCCATGAAGTTTTTGGAATATGTGATTTTTCATTGAATTTTGAACATATACAAAAACTAAAGTGAGCGAAGGCTGTTGACACTCTTTTCTGGAGGAAAATTACCCTTAAAATCGGTCATTTTGAGACTTTTTCTGATTACAATAGAGATATGCATCGAATTAATGACGTCATATTTCCAAATGGTACGCCTTCATACCACATTGTTTCCTGATCTTTCTCAGTCATAAATACAAACTAATTTTTTAGCCAATTTCAACCCTTTTTTAAACCATTAAAGGACTTAAGCCAGAATGTACAAAAATCCGCCCTGTCATCGAAACGGATGAAACTTTTTCAAACAATGCTCTTAGATTAGTATATTATATAACATTTTATTTTTTAACAATATCTCTTTTAGTTTTATTTTTACAGCTGTTTGAATTTGGTATTGTTCTCAATGTTAATTCTACAACGTCATGACGTTGCCGTTACTTACTTTAACGTCATGACGTCAATCACATATACTTAAACGTCATGATGTGAACTTAATTAGTAATAAACATATATATATTCTAAAGAGGAGAAAATTCAATTATTTTTATATAAATCTCAATTTATCATGGTATTTTCAAAGAAATTCTGAGGCATGGAAAAGAGTTTAGTGTTTGCTTTTCTTATAGTCTGTACTTCTCTAAAGAAAATATATATACTTCATAAGCAGTAACGCTGTTTACCATTTCACAAATGTAACAGTGTCAGTTTAAAATAATAATAACAACAAAATTATCAGTTTTGTAAACATTTGTATTTCTTGCTCCAATAGTATTCATAACAATACATGAAATATTGAAGTAAACTTCACTTTAACATATTTTTAAGGTAAATCATGAAAATACATAAATCAGAAAATGTGAATATGCAAAGTCAAGCTATGTCTTTTTACTGATTATTGCTACAATATCACACCCGACATAAATCTCACACATGAAATTATAAACAGGTAAATTGAAAAATAACACTTTACATGAGATTATAAACAGGTAAATTAAAAAATGATACTCTACATGCAGAGCGGCCCAATTTCCGCATCCGACTTAAAACTCACACATGAGATTATAAACAGGTAAATTGAAAAATAACACTTTACATGAGATTATAAACAGGTAAATTAAAAAATGATACACTACATGCAGAGCGGCCCAATTTCCGCATCCGACTTAAAACTCACACCGCAGATTAAACAAGTAAATTGAAAAAATAACATAATTTTTTTTAAAAACATATATACAACAGATACAATGTATATAAAATAACAATGAATAAAATACAATGAACATTAACTAACTGTTCACTCCTCGGGAACACTTTCACAGCTACTGTCATCACTGTCAGACTCATCCAAAGCAGGTGGGATCTCAGCTGCATCAAGGACATGCTCACTCCAGTCACGCACACCATATGTCCTTTGTTCATGTCTTCCTTTTGCCAGGTACCAAATGATGGCTGCTATGTGAGAGCACATGCCTACAACTCTGGCACCCGCTCTGCAGGTACAATACCATGCCTCTACAGAGTAATCAGAATACTCAATCCAAACTAAATACTGCTTTGATGATGTGTGCCGACTCTGAATTTTCACCTTTAGGAGCCTATCATTTTCTTTATGGAAGAAAATATCACATCCTCCCTCAATGTGTTCTTGAATGTAGCTACGAGAGAGCTTCAATTGATAGGTGCCACAAGTCAAATTCCGCAACTGATCCTCATCCAACATGGGGAAATTCTAAATTTCACATTCAAGAACTGTTTGCCATTGAGTAGATCTTCTGTTAAGTCCATTCTCTTGAACCATTCGTTTGAGATTATTCACCTATTAAGAAAGCCATACGCATGTTATTATAACTTAATATATACTCAGATGTATTCAAGGGAGATGAGCAAGATGAAATTTAAAAAAGTTAAATGTATACTTAAATGCAGATTTTTGCAGCTGCTCAATTACTAGTACATTAAGGTATTATACAATAAATCAATTGTGCATTACTTAAATACCTGTTTGGACAGATAGAGCATTTTTGCTGCCTCTGCATCATCAGTCTCAGTGCTGTTACTTTTACTCAGGGGTGGAGAGAATCTGTTTGAGAGTGCGCAAATTATCCTGACATAGTCACCGATGAAGGGAATTTGATTAGTGGGTAGTGTCTTGTCCAAATATCGCCACCTCTTGATACGTGCGTTTGAAGATTCCACTACCCATCTGACCTAAAAAATATTTTTTCAAAACTTATTCATAGTAATATATTTTCACAAGAAATTGTAAATAACTTTATTGCGAGAATTTACATGTTATTTACCTTTGTCACAAGTCTGCTCATATTTGCATCATCAGTAGTCATTTGGTTTTGTCCCTTGAGCAGAAATCGGGGCATTTCTGCCTGGATTCCAAGATCTTCAAGCAGAGGCAAAGCATCTCTGAACCCGCGGTCAACAATAAAGATGTCGTCTTCACTTAGCCAGCTCCGAATATCTTCAGCATTTGTTTTGATGATGTGTTGGAGAATTGATGCATCATTGTTTTTATTATCAGCAAGGTATGGTCCTAAGATTGAGACAAAGTAACCAGTAGTAGTCACGATAACCATAGGCTTGATTAGTGGTCTCCCCTTGTGGATGCTGTAAGAACGTCTTTGGTAGTGGAAATTATTGCTCTTAGCTGTGTATATGTAAGTGCCATCCAGTACCAATATGGCCTGTTTCTTGTCGATGTTACCAAACAGTGTCTGTGCTAGCTGTCGTGTATGGTTTTCGATGACTTCCTCTCTTCTTATGTGTTCAAACCCAAGATGGTGTGGCACAAAGCTGATCATCAATGCTGCTCTTACAGCACTAACAGCCCTCCTTAAACTGGATTTGGAAGTTTGGAAAAGTGTTGACAGTATTTGATTTGACAAGCCAGTCTTTAATTTGCACAGGAATATGGCAACAGATTCTCTTAGACTCCTAGATGGTGTTGGTTTCACTTCATCTTTCACAGCGTCACATATTGTATGGAAATCTTCCTTGTTGAGTCCCAGCAAAGACAAATAGTCTGTATCGGTCAGAGTCGTGGTGTCATCAAAGTCCAAATAAGACTTGTCATGTTTATGACATAATACACGCATCTCTTGAAGTAAACTTAGGATGGTAGTTCTGTTAACAAATGCATTGTCTGTCGTTGGTAATTGCTGAATAGCATCAGTTGTGAAGCGTTCATTTTCCACATGACCAGGACAACATCTATTTCCAGATGGAATTAATATATTGTGTTCAATAAAAACAGATGTGCGGCATTCTGGTGACACTACTATCAATTTGGGCCCTGGTTTCTTACAAACGATACAATAGGCATGAGTCTTTGCAGTGGATTTTAGGTGCAAGGATACAGATGGTGGACTGGAGAGATGTTTTCTGTTGTCATTTGTTTCGGGGGCTGGACATTCCCTGTGAATTGTGGTAGAGCAGGGTGTTGCAGATGATTTGCGGCATGAAACATCTCTGTAATAATTGCTTCTACATTTGCTGCAGATGACAGAATTTTCCCTTCCTTCCACCATAAACCTTTTTCTTAAATATTTTCTTATGCCTTTGTCAAGATGCCTCCTTTCATTGGGTTTTGTTCTTTTAGAGCACAATACACAGTTGAAGTATTCAGTTTTGTGTCCGGGCATTATCTGAAATTAAATACAAGAACATTTACATTTTATAAATTATTATTCAGGCTAATTATGAAAAATAATTCGTTTTACCTTTCCAACTGAATAAAATGATTTTTTTTTTTATTTTACTGCCATAATTATACCCCCGCTTGAAAAGCGAGAGGGTATATAGCAATCGGTATGTCCATCCGTCCGTCTGTCTAGCTGTCTGTCCGTCCGTTATGCTTTGGGGTACCCATCTCTTATCCGCAACTAGCTCCTCTCATACCACTGAAGGAAATTTAATGAAACCTTTATCTTTATTACATATTGCCATTGTGCACCTCCTATTTTACTTTTTTACCTGACATATATTTTTGATTTTCCAGAGCAAAACATGGAGACTGCCATTATATTCATATGGGAGGGGGGGGGGGGTGTATCATTTAGTGAGCTCATTGCTCACAGTACCTCTAGTTTATCTTAAACTACAGCCAAAACGGCTGATTAAAATCTTTTGAAAATATCTTCTCAATCTCATCCAGATTAGAATTACAATAAAAATTTCATCCCATGTATGCTCAGATTCATGGACTTACATATTGTTAAAACTTTGCCTGAGGAAGGACATGAATTTTTACATCATTATACAAAAATTGTCTTCTTCCTCTGGGAATACTTTAAAGATATTTGATTGAGTTTAACCACCTCAAATACTGTTGCTTTATTTTTGTTTTATAAATCCTTCGAAACTATTAATTTCTTACCGTGGTTTTCTACAATACATACTTCTTTTCATTTTATTTTATATATGCACACGCCTTGAGATCCACTCCCCATTCCAGCAATTTATATTTAATTTATGAACAACAATAAAAAAGTTGCAGAATTATAATAATAAAATTGATTTTGGCTGTTTATTATTTTAAAATATTTACTACTATTTATATTCTGATAAATTTGCTTAAACATGCTATTATTTTCATTGTTGTTTATATTATTTTAAGAAAAAATCATTATTAAAGAAAAATCATTAAAAATGTATTTAAATAGAACGTGAATTTTTCAAAGAGAGGTAACTCATGAAAACAAAAACAAAACACCCCCTGATGTTGAATATCTGTGTTAATGTGTCTATTTTTTGTAAATTATGACTATTAAAATATAAATTAATATTTTTACATTGATATATGGTCTTGTAAACATGGTAAATATGTGCTGTACTTTAATAAAAAAAAAGAAAGAGGGGATTCAGATTGACATGTTCCAGTGTTATCATTGCTCATCATATTGGTGTGAAATTTAAAATGAACTTACTAGATATTCATATGCCTAACATTTCATACAGATTTGAATAAAATCTTAATTTAGACTTATGCCGATCTTTTTTGCATCTCAATCACACGTACTACAATAAACTTTGATATAGATATGCATTATTGCATACCATGCTGACAGAAGTCCGAAAAATCCGACGTTTTCCTGGCTTTTTTGCGATCTTGATAGTTTACATACCAGGAATAGTCCGATTTCCTGGCTTTTTTTACGATCTTAATAGTTTACATGCCAGGAAAGTAAAATATCAAAATCGTAAAAAAGCCAGGAAAACGTCAGATTTTTCGGACTAATCTGACAGTAGATCACACTGCAGACGACATATGGGTCAAGCGAGCGGTCCATGTATTATCAGCTCAGAATCATCCTATTATATTGATGCATGTGTATTTTAAAGCTTACTTTACTTTTTTGTTTAGAAGAATATAAAAGATACTCACCACAACAAAGTCATGTAAACTTCTCTATCTTCAGTCGATTGTAACTGCATTCTGGATAGTCAGTTATTTTATCACATCGGGATCGGAAATTCCTATTTTTCACAGACGCAAGTTTTATATCGAGTGGATTTTATATCCTTTAAAATTTATTTACGGCCTCAATAAATTATTAAAAAATAAATCATTTAATATGACTAATTAAGTTTAACCTCTATTTATACTAGGCCGTACTGAGAGAAAAAAATCCGGAAATTATCTTTTACTCAAGTCAGGCATCAAAGTACTGAAAAGTATCATTTAAGTAGGGCGCCACACGTGAACCATCAAAAACCAAATGAATTATGGAATAACATGTATCATTTTAACTGTGTTTAAAATTTCATCATGGTTCAAGGTTGGCGCCTACAAAAAATCGCTGTACAAAGGTCTAAATTTCTTTGAAACTCGGTATTTTTGCATTACCGCATCCGGTTTTGATGTTTATGATAAAGCACGTGCTGTTTCCTTCCCAAAAATCAAGACGGCGACCAAAGGTTAAACACCTAATAAATATTTGGCCAAAGTTTCGCTGCTTAATGATGAAGTTTGATTTTCAGGAATTGACAGGGCCAAATCATGCAGATTTTGGCGTTAGTTCTTTCTAAGGCACAATAAAGCTAAAACGGTACCTTCTTTTTTGTATCTATGTATGAAAGACCCTTTTTCTTAAAATATATTATTAGGCTCCAGAAATAACTGGTATATCCCCGGAGTCCGTCATTAAATCTGGAGGCCGTTTAATACGGATAGCTGGACATAACATCAACATTGGAAACAGAAAATACCAAGTGATACTGTCGCCTTTGAATTCTTTTGGACAAAACAAAACGTGCACCATGTATGTATACATGTACAAATATAATATATTCATGTCAGCTTCGATGATGTTATGTTCATAAAGTGTATGCATATTATTTTCAATTAATTTTGACATATAGAGATGTAGATCAATCAACAGACGACGGGGAAATATCCTGTATTCCAGAGAAATCTGATGTTTTGGGTCAGCATGTAGTACAAGTAGTGTTCGATTCAAAAACTGTCACGGAATTAACAGACACTTATTTGACATATCTCCCGAACCCGTACATAAATGGAACAACACCTCCATCAACCAACATGAAAAGTATTATGAGGTATCTTATTTCTTTTATTACTAATTTAAGTATTGCGAACTTTTATGTTGAAGTATACTAAATGAAGTCTACATCTTTGTTAAAACATCACCGATTTCCATAGATACATTATTTACAAAATAGTTTAGCTTGAATATTTCAACCAAAATGTTACGTAAAAAGTGGTGCTTAGGGGTATTGGATATAGCGCACCTTAGAGTTGTTTTCGTAATTAAAAAGAGCTTTCAAATGTTAGAATTTGTAATAAAACAAGTTACAGCTGAAATTATTCTGATTTAAATACGAAGTGTTCTGTCTATCAGATCAATACATGGTAGACAGGGGATGCTTACATAAATCAAAGAAAATAATTAATATTTATTGTTTATTTTTAGTGGCGGACTTGGATTTCATGTGCACGGACAGGGGTTTGTTGATGTCATCGAAAATATTTTGATTAGCTTGTCAGAGTCAAGTATTGTAAGTTGATGTTATCTCACTTTTGTTCATCATTCTGAATAGATTTTAAAAAAAAACAATCTTCGTGCTCTTAGATTAGTTTAAAACACATTTATTAGTTTTTTTTTTCTTAGTTATACTTTTAGCATAGATTATTTGGGAATTGAGTATCAAAGTTCAAACCAAGGACTATTAAACAATTCTAAATGGATTACCATTTACAATTAACCTATACTTTGATTGAAAAGAAAATTACTTTAAATACGAATCTCTAATTACATGTATCAACAACTGCATATTGTCAGTTGGCAAATGAACATTTAGTCTTGTAAACAGGTATGAGAAATCAGTTACATGAATATGAAGAAACAACTACATTACCATCCAAACTTTATGAGTCATTTATACACCAAATTGTAAATATTCGACTATTCAATATCGGTGTTTTGAAATGGAACCTTAAGAATCAGGCATTATTAGATCATTTCATAAATCAAAATTGTACATTCACTGTTCTCTATGATACAAATGTTGTCTTTCCTTCATTATTATACAAATGTAGTAGTTAAAAATAAAAGGTTACATTTAACTCGTTTGATATGTATAATATGAAATATAATTTAATTATTCTTCTAAAATGTCTGAAAAGTCAATAGTTAATAGCACTGAATTTACTTAAGATCTATTATCCTCTTTTCAGGAAGGACCGAAATGCAGTAGACAAAGTTCAGTTCTTTTATACTGCAAATTTCCACAAATGCAACAGGAAGGGCAACAAACTAGAAAGAAAAGAGACATTGTTTATCAAACCATTGTTATTCATATCGATGGGTTCATGTTTGTCATTTCAAGGACGGTCATATATGTGAGCGATCCTGTCATTTTTGAGTTGAATGGAAACCGTTCCTTTAAATATGACCCATCGTCAGAAAACGGGAATATATATGTTAAGGTGTGTATTTAGAAGAAAATAATATCTGATTCGTAACTAGATTTTTTACTTGACATGTTTTCTTTTAAAAGAAACGGCTTATGGATTATTTGTGTCTTTCTTAATGTATCTAAAGAAATTCATTATATTTTTATGAACAGGGGAGTCAGTTGAACACTATCACTGATATAGAAGACTATTTCGTACATATTGGTAGTGGTGAGTGTATTGTCCTTGAACTTTTCAGCGACACTTTAAAGTGTTTACCTCCATACAAAGAACCATCGCCACGTTTAAGCGAGGATAAACTATACATCAGGGTAAATTCCTATATACCTGTGTCAAAATAATAACAAAGTTAAAACAATTTGATTTATTCTTTATAACATACCCCGGAAACGATACAAAATTTTCGAACAATATCCTAACACAGTACTTTCTTGTAAATAAACTTACTATTTTTAATATGTGGAAAATAGGTAAGAGTTGGAAACATCAATACAGTCATTGGTGTTGTTCAATATCCTGTAAGAGGAATGGCAACATCTGTATCAAATGATACTCTCTATATCATCCTGGCCACTTTTGCGTCCCTGATTCTCCTTGTCTCTATTGGATTCATCTTAATTTGGCGAAGAAAACACAACAAAATTAAGACGACTAAAAGACCAAGGATATCAATGGAAAATATTCAGGGAGATTCGGGTAAACATGATTCTTAAACTTAACTATGCATTGACTTGAACATACGATGCATTAAATTAAGAAAATCTAAATGAGTAAGACACGTAATTGCTTATTCTTTTCCATATATAACATATGATAAAATTTGCATTACAAATTTAATATTTTGGTCTTTCATGAAAACATTTCTGAAGATTAGGGAGAAAAATGGAACTCAAAATTACCTCAAAACTGGAATCTGTTAGCGTTAATGTTAATCGATGCAGAAATCCAATCAATTCAATCAAATGACAAGGTACATGTACATATGTGTATATTGCGTATTTTTCAATCAATTATTATCTTGTAAAAAAAAATCAAAAATATTTGTAGGATATGACATACTGTGGAAAGGCCGTGATAATACTGATGCAGCCTTTACAATTCATGTCAATGAAAGTACATTGTTTTTACTACAAAACAAAGGACTTCTTATTTCAAAAGAAAATCTTGAGATAAACAACCAGATAGGAAAAGGTAAGTTATTTTTTATTCGATGTTCTTGACAAGATACAAGACACACAGGTAATTTTAGAAAATTATTTTTGAGCTCCTGCTTACATACAAGCTCGGAATTAAAATAATAACGATGCTATTAGTAATTGAAGATTTTGAATTGCAATCCTGTATATATTGAGTCTTGTTTGTTGAGCAAGAATTTAGCATTATACTAATTATTGTTGAAGTTTAATTTCCACAAAACATTTCAGGAAATTTTGGTGTTGTATATGAGGGATCCCTGACGAACACAGAAGATTCAGAAATAAAAGTTGCAGTCAAGACTTTACATCGTATATATTTTCATAATTATTATTAGTGTAAAAAGATTATATTTTACTTAACAAAGTACCATTATAAATGCAAGGAGGATATCTTAGAATATTTTGTGTATTCAAAAATTAACTTCACAATATTTATTTGAATATAAAAAATGTAAATTGTTCTCCGAAGGAAATATAAATACATGATTGCCTGAGTAATATTCGTATTGTTATATATATAGTTTTAGATCCGTAAACAGCTAATCTTTATCTATAAATTAACTTTATTTTAACGAATTTTTGATCTACAGAAAGCAACCCTAGAGAAATAGATGTTGAGAATTTCCTGGATGAAGCTATAAGAATGCACGAGTTCAATCATCCTAATGTAATGACGTTGATAGGAATCTGCTTATCTCTGGATGAAATGCCCCTGGTTGTTTTACCATTTATGAAACATGGAGACCTTCTTTGCTACATCCGGAACGACAAAAACGTGAACAAGCCGACGATTTAAGGCTAATGTGGCCATCATTATAACATATTATCATACAAAAGAGATGACTTGAGAATGAAAATCCGTATTTTACAATATACTAGTATTTATCTCTTCAGGTACTGACTCTAAGAACTCTGGTTGAATTTGCTACGGATATATCAAGAGGGATGGAGTATTTGTCAATTCAGAGAGTAGTGCATCGAGATTTGGCGGCTAGAAATTGCATGTAAGAAACTGATGATGTTATAATTTTGCTTTCTCTGAATATTCTTAGTACTTAACACATGTATTTGTGATTAGAATGTCCTTCCGTACATTCGTACGTTTTTCCGTCCCTGCATAGGCCCACAACACTTGAGAGTACCCATCTCTTAAACGCACTCTCTCCAATACCAATGAAAAAATCTTAATTATACCTTCAAAGAATCTTCACTGGAGCGTTGTACAAATCTTGTTTTATTTTTCGATCGGGGTTTCAATTTATAAAAATTGGACATTGCCATGCTTTTAAAAAAATATTGGGGGTAACCATATCTTTTCCACAATATCACACTCACTCACTCAGTCCTCTCTGCGCCGTCTGGCACTTGAGGCGACAGCAAGGGCTCTCCAATTGGCTCTGTCGGCTGCTGCTCTGGGGGCTGTCTGCAGGGTGAGTCCTCTGTTCCTCAGGTCTCTCTCAATGGTGCGCCGCCAAGTCTCCTTTGGTCGCCCTCTGTTCCTCTTCCCCTGTGGTGTCCAGCCAAGAGCTGTCCTGGTAATGGAGCTGGTAGGCATGCGGCAGACATGTCCCAACCATCTCCAGCGTCGCCTTTGGATCATCTCTGCCAGAGTCTCCATATTTGCCATGTTTCGGAGATTTTCATTGGAAATAGTGTTGGGCCAGAAGATCTTCATGATGCGACGTAGGCACTTGGTCTGGAACACTTCAAGTTTCTTCTCAATGGTGACAGTGGTCTTCCAGCACTCAGATCCATATAGCAGCACACTGAGGACATTGCTCCGGAATAATCTGATTTTTGTCTGGATGCTGAGGCTTGTAGATTTCCAAACGGGTTTGAGCATGGCAAAAGCTTGGTTGGCTTTGCTGGGTCTGGTCTTAATCTCTTGCTCGCAATCACCGTCTGTTGTCATTTTGCTGCCCAAGTAGGTGAATTCCTCTACGTTCTCCAGCTGCCTCCCGTTGACTGTGATTGGGTCTGTGTTTCTGGCATTTTTCCTCATGACCTGCGTTTTCTTGGTGTTAACTCTGAGTCCTATGGTGTTGGCTATTTCGCTGAGGGTCTCCGTCTTTTGCTGTATGTCCTGATGTCTACTAGATAGAAGCCCCAGGTCATCAGCATAGTCCAGGTCCTCTAGGACTGTGGTCAGAGTCCACTGAATGCCCTGCCGTCTTCCTTCGGTGACGTTGCGCATGAGCCAATCCACTGCAAGGGAGAAGAGCATTGGAGACAGTATGCAGCCTTGCTTCACGCCAGTATCCACTCCGAAGGGTTCTGTCAGTTTGTTGTCATGTATTACTTGGCACTCGATGTTTTCGTAGAGGGACTGGATGATGTTCACCAGTTTCTGCGGGATGCCATAGTGTCGTAGGATCCTCCAGAGGGATGCTCTGTGAAGGCTATCAAAGGCCTTCTCAAAGTCAACAAACACCAGGTAAAGTGGGCTGTTCCACTCGTGCGACTGCTCAAGTATCTGGCGGAGAACGAAGATGTGGTCAATGCAAGATCGTCCTTTTCTAAATCCAGCCTGCTCCTGTCGTAGGATGGTGTCCACTGCTGTGGTGGTGCGCTGGAGGATGATGCGGCTAAAGATCTTGCTCGTGAGGGACAGCAAAGTGATTCCTCTCCAATTGTTGCAGTCTGACAGGTCCCCTTTCTTTGGGAGTTTTACAATGACTCCTTTTCTCCAGTTTTCTGGAATTTCCTCGTTGTCCCAGATGTCTTGGAGAATACTTTGAAGAAGTCGTGGGGTGTCCTGTTCCTCTGCCTTCAACATCTCAGCGCAGACTCCATCCTCTCCTGGTGCCTTGCCATTCTTCAACTTGCAGATGGCGTCCTTCACCTCCTGTAGTGAGATGGGTCCCAGATTGATGTCCAGGTCCTCTTCTGCCTCGCTGATTTCTGCAAGAGCTGGTGGGTCAGGCTGATTCAGGGTCTGCTGGAAATGATCCCTCCATCTCGCTAGCTTGGCTTGCTCTTCAGTGATTAGTGTGCCATCGCTTGCCTTCAGTGGGAGGTCCTGATTCTGTCCTCTGTCTCCTCTTAGTTTCTTAGTAATCATGTAGACAGTCTTCATGTCCTTCCTTTCAGCGGCTGCTTCCGCTTCATCTGCTAGTTTTTCTGTGTACTGCCGCTTGTCTCTTCTTGCCGAGATCTTGACTTGTCTGTCTTTCTCTCTGTACTGCATTTCTGCTCTCTCTATTCCACAATATACCTCCTACAAAACTGAACAAGAAAACATTGATGTAACCATCAATTGTCGCCCGGGAAATAAATAAAGTAACAATGGAAATGAATCGTCTTGATCATCAAACCTCTTCAATATGTGCGAAAAAGGCATGCGTCTAGATGATGGAGACGATAGTCAAGAACATTTTGCAAATTTAAAGTCGGATGAAAATCGAACAAAAACAGTACTCTTTTAAACTTTATTAAATCATCAACTAAATTTTAGCTGCATAAAATAAAGATTGAAATCAGACACGTGCATCGCCTATATTCAAAAATGTATTTCACTTTAAAATTATTTAACGTTTTTATGCTGTAAGTAAACTTCGATGTTTTTAAATAAGGGATCTGCCTTTTTTCGATAGTAAATGAATAGTAAATTTATATATTAAATATGAAAAACATTTATACGAGGGCCGTTCAAAAATTACGCAGACTGTGCTATTATTTACTCTTCAGACGTCATATAGTTATGAAATTTTAACAGAAATATGTATCTTAAAGATTCCAATAAATTTTGGGCAAAATTCCTGTATTTCAAAAAAAAAATCTACTAAAATTATCGGTATGTTGATATCGCTGATGGAGAGGTACGGAGCACGACAAAAAAATTCAAACAATAGCATGCGGAATCCAAAATTTAACTTATTAATTTTCTATAATTTTTCGACAATTTCCCCAAATGTATCTTTAAATTGTTCTATTAGTATGCACTTAGATTTCTGACGTGATATTTGAAGTAATAACAGAAATATAGTGATTTTTCTCTGATGCGATTCCCGTGAAAACGACTGTGAAAATGACGTCTCTTAAATTGACGGCGCACCACACTTTTGTTAAATTATGTGTAATACTCGAAATATCGCCAATATAGATCCAAAATATGCGTAATAAAACATGTAGTTAACTAGGGCATTCGTGACATTCATCCACAAATAGCAAATTGACATTTTAGACCGTTAGACCTCTGTAAAAGGCTATACGGGAGGACGGGAAGAAGATTGTCGACGAAAACTTTATCTGGACTGTACAGAACGTGATTGAGAGTCACCAACATCACACTATATCTCATAAATACCTGCAGTTATTGGTGTTAAAAGAAAAAAAAAAGAATATTCGTTACTTGTATAATAGATTTTAAGCTTGACAAGAAATGGTGTTTGAATGTTGAGTAGATAAGGTAACTTAAACTGTACAGGTACTCTTGGGAAAATGTTGAGAAAATGAAAGCTCAGTCACATATTGTTTTATAATGCCTGTGACGTCGAAGATTTTGCTGCTCCATGACTTAATGATATGTCCTGCAAAATCACTCAAAATTGATACCAATTTACAACATTTTGATAGGAATTTTCGAAGACCATATAAGACCATATAAGTAAAGATTCTTTTATATTATGTGTGACATTTTGCCCGATTATGTCGTCAAATATTTTTTCTGTGCAACAAGTCCGCGTAATTTTTGAACGGCCCTCGTAGTTTTACAGAATCACTTCATAAACTAAATATTTTATGAATCTCGTAATTTATAAAGGGAGAGAACATTCTGATTAACAATCTTCTTAATATTTAGAAAACCATTGATACTGAATAACTCCCACCTCAATCCCCATACACCAATACTTAAACTTATATGTATAGAACGGCCCGGTCCTCCGGGCTGCAATAAAACGTAGTGAGGCTTTTAATAGAAACGTTATTACATAATCTCAATGTGCACTTCTACTTAATATTTTGATCGGACAAACATTTGGTGTTTCCCACGGCAAAACATGTACTTTACCATTATACACATTTCGTAATGTGGTATATTATTCCTCTTTTTTAAAAAAGGCTTAACGAGGATCGGCATGCAGTAGTAGCAGATTTTGGATTGTCACGTGATATTTATGAGAAAGATTACTACAGTAGTAGTAACAAGAAAACAAGGCTACCAGTAAAATGGATGGCCCCAGAAAGCCTCGAGAAGGGAATATACAGCTCACAATCGGACGTGGTATAAGAAATTATTATATATTGAATTCTTAGTTATGAAGTTTTCAATGATATCAATCGATATTGAAAAAGTAAAAACAATTAAAGTACTTGTATGCTTAATTCACGTACATGATCACAGCTGGAATTAAGATATATTTTGAATTGTATTACTCTGACTTTTGGACGGACACAGTGGTTTTGAATCAGTTTAGTAAATTTATTCCAACAAATATTTAATCTTGTAAGGAAAATAAGTAGACGAACATACTTAGATCAAGACAGGGAGGGATATTTTTTTTAATTTATTTACAAGATGCCCAAGGGCCTTGAATCGCTCCTCTTATATATTGTACAATCTATCACTTCTATTTGAAGCGTCAAACTCTACGTATCCTAGGACCCAAGATGCATCAACTTACAAAGTTAATGACTCTTAGCCACTTAGGACTGAAGATATTTCAATATCGCTATAAAATGCCATAAATAAATCACGTGGACCTACTTTTTGATTGAAATTTTATGAGGTCTCAAGATGCATTAATTGAAAAAGATTGATGATTCTAATCTAATAAGTAGTTGGGATATTCAAAAGTAGGTCACCGTGACCTACTTTTTGGTCGACATTCTCCGAAAATCCAAGGCGCATCAACTGACAAAATTTGACGACTGTAAGCCAATAAGTACCCGAGATACTTTAATATAACCATAAAATATAATATAACCATAAAATGTCAGAAGTACATGTAGGTCACCATGATCTACTTTTTTAGTCATCATTCTCCGATATTCTAAGATCCATCAACAGACAAAGTTTGATGATTCTAAGTCAAAAAGTACCTGAGATATTCATAAGAAGGTCACAGTGACCTACTTTCTAGTCGACATTCTCGGACAACCCAAAATGCATCAACTGACTAAGTTTGACGATTCTAAGTTAATGAGTACCCAAGATGCTTAAATATAGCCCTAAAATGTCAAAAATAGGTCACAGTGACCTACTTTTTGATCAACGTTCCCCTTCAAACCCAAAATGCATCAAATGACGATGTTTGATGATCATAAGTCTGAAAGTATTCAAAATATGCATTTTAAACAATTTGAAAACAAATGCTTGCAAAATTCTAAAAGTACGTCACTGTGACCTACTTTTTAAAAATTTCTTTTAGAGCCCCAAGATGCATAAACTTACAAGATTTGATGATTCTAAACTTCTCACTGTCTGAAATAATGGGATTAAATGTTTTCGAAAAGAGTAGCCGTCAGATTCAAAAAGTATGTCATGGTGACCTACTTTTTAGTTGACGTTGTTTGAAATCACAAGAAGCATTAACTGACAAACAGTGATGATCATAGGCCTTAAAGTGTCCAAAAAATGCCTAAAAATCAATTTGAAAACAAATGTTCCCAACATTAAAAAAGTAGGTCACCGTGACCTACTTTTGAGTTAACATGATGTAAAGTCCTAAGATGCATCAACTTAAAAGATTTTATGATCCTAGTGCTTAAGTAAGCAAAATATAAACCTTTTTATTAAGTGTAAATTTAGGTCAACTTTGAAGTTACCTTGAGACCTTGAGTCCTTTGGGGTAATTGCCTGTGCAAATTGTAAGCTTCTGCATATTTGTTTCTTGTATATAAGTTTAGTGGAAATCTGCCCGGTGGTTCCCGAGAGGAAGGTTTTTTAGCAACCAGTATTTTTTGTTTTAATTTTCTGATTATCTCCCCTTGTTTAGGGGTCCCAACCCTTACTTTAGTGTAAATGGTTGCTCTTGGGCCAAGGATTTGTCAATGATTGGCCAAGGGGTTCTTGGTTTAAGGCCCATTTTCTGAAAAGTTTACGCACACCGCACAAATGACCATCGCTTTAGCTCTTTGAGTCTTTTGCTCAGAAAGCTAAAAATACATTATGCCTTAAAACATACTAGAAAAGACAACACAAATTAAGACTGGTGTAGGTAGTACAATGTACTCTAACAAATTCGATTTGATTCATTTTATCTGAAAATGCATTTTTTTCAACAGATTGGTAAGTTGTAAATTTGGCGTGCTTGTAGTTTACAAACTTCAACGGAACGTATCGGAAAATTTTATCGTGTTAATCCAAACTGACGTTATTTCACACAATGCTAGAAAATCTTGAGGAATATCAAAACTCTTGTCTGAATAGAACATTTTCCTCTTGCTATATAGCACCGTCAGCACTGTTAAGATTACATGGAACGGGGGGTTGACAGAGCCTACTTTTTCTGGGAAAAATGTTTACTTAAATAGCATACAAAGTATCCATTTCTTTTAATGCCTGACACATGTAATAATTTGTGATTTTAAACTGAAAGAGAATACTAAACTGCATCAAAATTTACGACGGCATTCATCCCCCCAACCACTACAAGACATCTTTAGGTTACAAAGCATCGTATATATGACGACGTAATGGGGTGGATCAAGGAATTCTTCTGAAATTGAGAAAAGAATTTTGTTTTTAAACAAAATATTATTTTAAGAATATTATATTACAAAGCATCACATGACCCACAAACAACCACACATGTACACACCCATAGATGGCCACTATATCCCCTCTAACTCCGTTGCCAGGTGATAATCATCGTCTATTGTTTAATTAAAGGGTAGGGAGATATTGAGTATCTTCAGTAAAGATATATTTCAAATGAGATCAATCTTATGAAACATCAATCCTTTATATGCAAGTATTTAATTTAAAAACAAAACTACCTTTTGCAACAACCAAATTTTTATACAAATGAATATTTTGTCATGTAGGAAATACTGTATACAAGGTTATTTTCGTCCCGTGTTATTTTCGCCCTTTTATACTTGCTTACAAATTTGCCCCGTTTTAAATTCGCCCAGTCCCAGTTCTGTTTAAGAATTTATACTGTGTTCTTTGAATTCGCCCCGTTTTAAATTCGCCCACTTGTGACAAGGGCGAAAGGGGCGAAAACAAAACGGGGGCGAAAATTACCCCGTAACCAGTATACAATAAATAATGAAGTGCATTGCAGTATTTGTAAGTAAAATACATAAAATCGATTAAATTTTTCACCAGTGGTCCTTTGGAGTCACCATGTGGGAGCTTCTTACAAGGGGAAGTAAGCCATACCCGGAAGTGGATGGATGGGACATGTTAAAGTACTTAAAGAATTCCAGACGGTTGCCGAAACCAACCAAATGTCCAGACATACTGTAAGATATATTACCCCCCAACCACCCTACCACCCAAAAAAATACTGAAATTTGACATATTTTCATTTCATATATATAAAAAAACCTCCCCTTGATTCATTTATTAGATTTTTATAAATTGGTTAAAGGTACAAAACCTTAATAATTCTTCTTTCTGTATTTCGCAGATACAATAAAATGCTTAGATGCTGGAATTTCGATCCCGATGAAAGACCATCATTTTCAGATCTTGTAATAGAGCTCTCTGAAATAGTTTCTTCAACCGATGAAAAGCTTGAGACGCATTCTGATTACCAAAGTCTCCAAAACACATACATAAACACAGGCATAGATGGTTATCTCCAGTTAGAAAATTAGATATGAAAGATATCGAGCATGCTTATGATATGGGGTACATAATTTACATTTGTTTAAAACTCTGTCAGAAACAGTAGTGCTTCAGTAGAAATTGAAAAATGTTTTATTTGGGATTTATGTCTTTGTAGTGTTTGAAATATTTTAAGTTTTATTTAATTCGATGTTATTCGTAAACATTGTTATGTACATGTGCTAATTCTCTAATTGGAACTATATCTTATGCATGTAATTTTAACAGTATTTGTATACATTTCCTTATACCTTTGTAGTTAAGTTTTTTTTATCACATGCACGCACTCCACAGACTCAAAAGATGAAAAAATGAAAGTTTACAGCGTAATTTTGATTTCTATTTTGCTGAAGTCTAACTTGTCAGGTAACAGCCTACATTAGGTTTTACAAGTATTTTAATGGATATATCGATGCAACATCGAAACAAATAATAGATAAACTTTTGTTGACTGTAAAACTGATGATAAGGAGATACTAATAAGACAATTCTGATCCTGTTTTTGAAGAACAGAACTGGAGATAGTTAAATGTCGGGTACCATTTGATTGAAAAAAATATCACCTGACTCTTCAGTTCAGGTGAAATGTACATTTGCTAATTCAAATTCAATTGCAAAAATATTTTCTTTAAAATGGAAGATATAATCTGAAAGGTGAAAATATGGACAATGGTTTATGTTGAAAAAAATATATATTTTTAATATAAATTATAAAGAGGCGATAAAACAAAGACCCTCAGAACAATCAATTTAGAAAAAAGAGACTCTAAAAAACAAGGTCGTTGAAACGCCTGGAACATTAACTTATCAATGAGAAGTATGCCCTTATTTGAAATTGTCGTGTACTCAGAGCAGACTCTTGAGGAGCGGATAAGTAAGGAGAAATATACTCCATAAGCAGGTGATAGTGGAACAATATCTCAATTAGGCATATTTACAGTGGAAAAGCCGAGGTCATCTTGTTTGTCATGAAATTCATTTTTATTGACATTTGTCATCTACAGTCAGTAAAATATTGAAATATGAAAATAGAATTGGCAAAATATGTGGTTTCTGTTATTTTTTTCTCTTGGATATACTTAGACGTATGTATGTTATCAGATTGTTTTATAACGAAAAGGGATGAATGTAAACTGGCTTATGATTGAAAATTTCTTATTTCAACACAGTCACATTTCAAGATTTGCTTTGCTATTATCTTTGATTAAAACTGCTAAGAGAAATGTGTACTCGTTACAAACTTAATTATCTGAATAAGTATCAAATAATGTCGATCTTAACTCGTTATCATCGTTAAGTTTATAAACCTGTATTCACGTAGAATAGTCATTATGTGGTAAAGAATGATATGTGCCTTTTGAAGAACAATTTTCCTAGATCGGCATGGAAGCATGATGTCATCAATATTTATTTTCTTCAAACAAGTTTTTAAGACTTATTTAAGGTAGGTTGCAGATTTACTGCATTAACGTTTTACCAGAAAACATATGTATAAATGATATGGTATTACTATTGAATATACAGCATATTATCTGTACTTTTCATAATATAATTTGCTTACTTAATTTGATTGCTAAATTAATGTTAACGCGGTATAGTTTTAGTTCATGTTTTTTTTTACGATTTAGTTTGAAGTATTAATGTATTTTTAGAAATTACATTTTCAAGCTCATTTTACAGAGCGATTTATTTAAAAAAAGGATGAATAACTTTGCAAAGTCGTCGACAAATTATTAAGGAATTTCAAAAATGTCACGATAAGGTAAAATAAAAAAAATGACGTTAATGGTAATTCCAAGCGTGGTGCACATAATAGAATAAACCCGTTGATCGTCTTTTCTATAGTAAATGGTTAAACACTATTTCAAGAAAAAACAACTTTCTTGTGACAAGAAATAGATAACGTGAAGCATACAATCCCTAATAGTTCTATGCGATTTTTTGCGGATAGATAGAGAAACAGGCAGGCTGACGAACCTAAACCCATATGTTCCAAAATCGCCGATAACAGGGGAATAAAATCAAAGTTACATAAATTTGAATAATCAGGATATCATGTCTACCTCACCAGTGTTTAGAAGATAACATCGTAGTATGTAGGAGAGTGTTAATTGGGTTTATCATTATTTACTATTTTGTTTCCTATTTGTTTTCAAGAAGGTGTCAAGGTAGCAATTATTTATCAAATGTCGTTTTTGTTATAATTTCATCATGTTTAAGCTTTGTTACATGAATTCTACTCATAAAATTTTATTGGCTGCTAAATCCGCACTCGCCAATTATATTCATTGATGTTTCCCTCAGGCCTATATAAATATTAAATAACGGGCGTATTTCGAATTTCGAAGTCATCATCTGTCTATTGTGACTAGTTGAAAGGTATTTTGTTTCCATTTTTAAAAGAAAATTATTTAAAATCCAAGAGGTTTTTCATTAGAAGTGTTTGCTATTGTAATGCGATTTTTCTTGTTTACATTGACTTTTTGTAAGATGTTGAAGATTACTAAACAGTAGTATAATTCGGCATAAAAATCGTTTAGCATGAAATAGTATAACAAATATTGGATAGAAACTTGTTTAAATGCATGATATTGCTACTAAATGTTCCAAGATGATTTACTTTATAAATATTTTTGAAATATTAACATTGGGGAAACATTTGAGGCACAAATTAAAAAAAATGTCTCAAAGAAACTACATGACAAAGATCAATTTATCTAAGCAACTTAACATTTTAGCAAAATTCGAAATGAGAGACTTAATGTGAATTTTTAGAGCAGTTCCATTTCAAGTAACTATATGCTCTACCTGGACCAAACTTTCATGGATGATGCATCTGGGGTTTGTCTCTTAAATTCTAGCTTTGTGGGATAGACTGGTTGCCTTTCCCAGATGTTTCTTTTTTTTCATATTTTAACCACTTAAGCATGGTGTATGTATATTTGTCATACTAAATCTGACCAGCATTTTAAGGATGAGTGAACAGGGTCATGTTTTTGGTGTATATTAGTATTTACATGGCCTTTTTTTTTTAAAGTTGATTCAAAGGACCGAATGATTGATTGATTGATTGATTGTATATAGTTAAACGTCCCTATCGAGAATTTTTCACTCATATTCACGTCACTGTATGCCGGTGGAAGGCTTCAAATTTAGACCTATACTCGACATTTAGGGCCATTGAAGAGTGAGGGTTCTTTATCATGCCAACGCCTACCGTGAAAAGGGACCTACATTTTTAAGGTCATTTCCGAAATAGTCGTGACTTTTACTTCTAGTGCCTAGCGCTTGGCGAAGGAACAATTATTACTTATGTTTCCGTATTACGCGGACAAGAAACGAACCCCAGCCTCCCGATCACGAAGCGAACCCTCTACTACTAGGCTACCGTGACCGGTTCAAAGGATCGAAGGAAACGACTATATTTGGAACTGACAGACATTTTTCTGATAAGCGACTTTGTGCAGATCATTTGCAAATATCTAAATTTGCTATGTTTTTTTAATAAACCAACTGTGAAATCGATTTGAAAACCATTTTCGTGTATAGGCGTAGAAATATACATGGAGAAACATGCGTTGACCTGACTTCACAATAAGGCTACAGCGATGTTAGTAAAAATTTAACGATATAGGGTAGTGAGAAATTCAAATATTGAGTATATTGATGGTGCTTCCAAACATGTAAATTGTAAATATAATAAATTTGTTAAGTTAAGTGTGAATTATTGTGTGCGATAGCGCGCTTCATGAAATATGCCTACGTGACAGGTCAGTGTGATCACACACCAATAACTCGCACAAAACTTAAAAACATTCCTTAAATTGATTCCAAAATGACAGTAAGTACTATTGAAAATAGTTTTGCTTGAATTTTGATCTTGTAATGTTACAGTCCCTGAGACTTTCTACTTTCCCACCTGAACGGTGAAAGAAAACAAAGCGAACAGTGAGTGAACGATGTGTGAACGCTGAACGCAACTTGGTGAACGATGCATGAACGAAGAACGGTGAGTGAACGCAGAACGCGAGCACAAAGTGAACGGTGAACGAACAGTGAACGCAAGATGAACGATTTATTCGGAATGCCTCCGATCTTTTCCTTGCATGGAAACTATTCTGTTGTATTCTAATGTTAAGTGCTAAAATATAAACAAACAATAAATAGATAAATGATTAGAATAAATAATGAAAACAAATTTTCTGCACATAGGTATGATGTTTTAAATCAATATTTTAATAACACGATTTTTGCAGTAAAAAACAAGTGTTCTTGTCACCGAAATGAATATGCTTATTCTTGTGGATTTCAGAAGAGAAAACTACTACTTATAGAATGAATTAATTACATCGTAACACAGTTGTAAAAACCATATATCATAAATTTCCTTGCCAAGGCGATTCCGTGTAATATAACAATTTTTTTTTTAATTTACAAAGGTCTGCTGACGTATTACAAAAATACACTCGTATTTTAAAATTTCAATGCAATAATATATATTTATATCATTTTTATTTTTTTATGATTTTTTAGCAATGTTCTACATGTACATGTATATTTGTAGACATTTCCCGGTCATGATTTTACTCGGACAAGATAATGGAAAGAGGCATTCAAATTATTTGTAATAGATTAGATTTTCAGAACTAAATAAGTAATATGCCGTCATAGTTTTTATTTAACAGGACAAATGTAAGAGAGAGAGAGAGAGAGAGAGAGAGAGAGAGAGAGAGAGAACCCCCCTCCATTCTCAGATATCTCTTGTATCGAAAAAAAAATCATATTTTTTTTGCTAAATATTTCAGGCAGTAAAAGTAACCATTTTTTGAATATTAACAAATCCATTTGAAAGTAAGCATCGGCTTTAATTTTACGTCAAGTTCACACAGTTCACACGAAGTCCACGAATATGTCCTGTCAATCAAAATTATTCGACACAGTAGAGGTGTGGAAATCTCGTTTCACTGAACATGCCGAAGTCAAAGAGTCACTTAGTATTTCCAAGAGGTTTTAACACTTTTTTCTATAAGTTCTACATCTGATTTTCGCATTTCTGCAGAAAAAAAAATAGATAAATAATTGGAAGGATTACGTTTGAAATTGAATTTGAAACATACTCCCTGCCAATTTAAAATACTACTACCGGCACATGTATATTTTGAAACACTATTGTTTAATGACTGTTTTGTTGTCCGATTTAAGACTGA